CACCCAAGACCTAATGATGTTGAATAATGTGTATCAAGATATGCTTTAATTCAGTACCACATGCTATTTCAAGAACCAAACAAGAATCATGTACAAAAGTTTTCAATTACAAGCATTTTTCAAAGGTAAAACCCAAAATGCAATCTTAAGTCAAAAATAGTTTTAAAATATGAAAATGAATTAAAAAATTATGAAATTAAAACCCTAACTTTCTAAAGTTCTATAAAAATCAGAAAGAAAATTTGGAGTCCATGGATTGAGGTGGAAATTTTCTTTAGAAATACAAACTTGGAAGCTAGCAAGTATAAACCTTAAACTAGAAGCTTTTGGAAACTAATTTGTGAAAAATATGAAATCATATTTTAAAATTTCAGAAAAGTGATTTTTGTGGCCTCAACATGTTCAAGCACTCCAAAAAATTTCATCTCTGATTTTATAGGTATAGGAAGTTAGAAATTTAAATCCATTAATGTGCATGATCAAGCAAAAACCCTAAAAAAGGAAAATAAGTTCAAAAATTAATCAATTAGATCTAAAGCTCAAATAAATTTGATGTAAAATAACCTAAATGTTAAGAAAACTATAAAGATCATAAAGCATATTTTTCTTGGATTTTATCTCAAAAGGAAAAAAGAAATAGAAATTATTTAAACAATTCATTAAAAAAACATGGAAAAGATGAATATGTCTAATTAAATGATTTAATTTGAACTTCAAATTTTTTATAAAATAGGACAAAAAAATATTTTCATGTAATAAGCTCAAAGAGGAGTCCAAAAATATTTTTTATGGATTTTTTACTTAATAGATATAAGAAAATAAAATTCAAGATTTAAAAGAAATATTAAAACCCTAATTATTCACATGATTTTATTTAATCAAGAAAAATGATAAAAAAAATGAAATAAAATCAAAATATAAAAATATACTGAAAAAGAAGTTTAAAATATTTTTTTTGATAATTTTTGAAATGAAGAAAATATTAAAATAAAATTTAAGAAAACAAAAGAAAAATTAATATATGAAGCCTTTTACACCCTTTTTTTTGGTCAAAATGCGCTGTAAAAGATAAAATACATCCATGTTCAATCAGGCAGGGACATGTCGTCGTCCCTACAAACATGCCAAAACCCAAAACGCGGCAAGAATCAGTTCAGCAAGGCATTTTCAGGCTTCAATTTCTCTCTTATTACTCAACCATTTGAGATGATTCCAAAAGCAAACATGATCACCAAACTTCTAAGAACATCACACATCTTTTAGATTTTAAAAACAAGACAGGATCAAAGAGAAATCGGAGCTCAAAGTCACTGAAAACTAACTTGAGCATGATTTGCAGAAAACTTCAAAACATCAATGGAGCTCGAATCAAACCAATTAGATACATCAGACCTATTGTTTGGCCAGCTAATAACATGTATACAAGATTTCAAGCATTGATTTAAGCTATCAAACAAGGAATCCGGAACTGAATTTTACCTCTTCAAGTGAAAAATAAATTCACTTGGATCTAATGATGAGAAAACCAGAGACACTTGCTTCTTTTGCTCCAATTATGAGGAAATGAAAGAGGTATGAGAGCTGAAACAAGAATATAGGCAGTTTCGAGGAGAAGTAAATTTCAGCAATGGAGTTCAAGCTTGTTTTAAGAGAGATAGAGAAAGAGAAGTGTGTTGCTGACTTTGTGACGAAGAGAGAAAGAGAGTGAGAGCTTGTTACCGACTTCGCCCCTTCAATTGTTGAATCACATTGCCTTTTATAGAGGGAAGAATGAGAGAGTGAGGAAAATGAGAAGTGAGAGATAATGAGAGTGAGGTGTGAAGTACTGCGCGTTTTATGTTGGCTTGAGGGTACAAAGCATGCGTTTTGAATAAGTGAGAACAGTTGGGATGTGAGCTGGCAGACTGGAGCTTTGGCTGACATGAAAAAAATCTATGCATTCCCATGCAAGTCTTGCCATTTCATGATCATGCATTTACCTTATTATATATTCCTCTATGGTGCATGAAATGTCACAAAGTTTGAATAAAAAATGGAGAGGACATTTCATACTCTAACTTTGATGTTCAAAATTTTCCAAAATGAAACTTGAATTAATGAGATAATTGGATATTAATGCACGCTTACAAACTGCTTGATGAAATGCCAGGCCCGACAAGGCATTCTGCGCGTGCGTGAGGCCTTGTGTTGGGCAAGAATTCAGCTTGCATGATGCCTTCTTCTTTCAATTATATCTCAAAATTTATAGAGAATTTGGAGAAACTTTCTGAAGAAAAATTGTTCCTCACATTTAGGGCTTCAACTTTGATGTTGGATATTTCTTAAAATAATGAATATTTCACATGGAAAAGTATTGATGAATGTGCTCCCACAACATGTTTGATGAAATGAATGCCTAGCGCGCGTGACTTGCTTTGTGCAGGGCAAAAATTTGGTTTTCAACTCAAAATCCTAATCACCATATCTTTCTCTACACTTAACCATTTGAGATGATTCTTGAATGAAAAATAAATAGAAGACTTCAATCTACAACTTTCATGTTTCCAACTTTTTGATTTGAGTCAAAATGGTCATTCAAAAATGGACATGAAGAAGTCAAATTTTTGCATTTTTAACCAAAATTTCACTAAGTGTCAAAATCTTCCAAGCTTCATAACTTTTTTCCCTTTCATTTTTTGGACTTGTGGCCGCTCCTACAAAGTTGGAGAATTTTTCATCCTCTTTCTAGGAATATAAAGTTTTCACATTTTCAATAAAAATTGAGAAAATTGTAGCCAGTCAAAGTTCAGCCCTATGGATACTTAGAAAATTTTCAAAAATTCAAATAACTTCCTTGACAAGTTATCTCCAATTCACACTTCCTCTTGATATTTTTGCACTATTGACCATGAAATATGAGAATATGAATATTGAATTGATGGTTGACCAAAAGCCCACTTGGTCAATAACTGATTTTGACTGTCTTCTAACAAAATGACCATTTTACCCCTTTTCATCAATTGAACCCCTTCAAGCCAAAGTTGATGATCAAACTTCCAATGATAGATGCTCATGACTATGTAGAGAAGTATGGGATCAAGAATTTCCCAAAAATACAGAGATCTCCTGATTAAACTCCAAACCCTAGTTTTGATCATATGTGCTAGAAGATGGTGAGATGACTGCAATTGTGCCATGACCTACAGATGATATTCCAAGAGACAACATATACACATTTTGAGGTTAGTTAGAAGAATACAAGTACAAGATATACAAATAAAAGTGCTTCAAGATTCTTGGTGATTCCATAGGCAAACCCTAAGACATGATGCAGTAGAAGATAAACCCTAAATCCTAATTTGTGATCTGATTGCATTTTGATGGTATGAGATGATAGAGGAATCTTAGGGGAAAAAATTGGGGTACAACATGAAGAGATTCAAGTTGATCTAGATACTGATGAAGGTTTGTCCAATACCATTGTATTACTTGGGAACCAATTTAATAGAATTCTGAAGAGAATGGAAAGAAGAGGAAGATCAAATTTTCAGAACATCTCATCTGACATCAGTAACAACTATGATGCTCAAAAGAATACCAGAACTGAAGATAAGTTAAATCAAAGCAAATGTATTCAATATTTTGAGTGTGAAGGTTTTAGTCATATTAGGCCAGTATGTTCCAACTTTCTCAAGAAGCAGAAAAAGGGGTTCACTGTATCTTGGTATGATGATGATGAGTCAAAAGATGAATCAAACACTGAGACTGCCAAACTTGTAATGGCTCTTTCTGACATATGGACAGATGAAGTGGAAGCTTATGATGAAAGTTTCCTTTATGAAGATTTTGATGTATCCTACAAGGATACTTGTGACAGGTGTGAAGAAAGTTTTAAAATAGTAGAAGAATAGAGAAAGATCATAGTTGAATTGGAGAATGAAAAGAAGGAACTTTTATGTATTGTTTCTCATTTACATAATGAGGTAACTCTCTTAAATTCTAAGCTTAATAACATGTCATATTCCTTGAAGAAGATGAAAAGTATAGCTGATATGATGAGAGAGAAATATCTAATGATAGATTTTCTATAAATCTCAATTCTAACACGACCAATTATGAGTTTTAGATTTTTACTCCGATTTTGTTGATTTTCATGTTTGTTTCTATGATAATAAGCATAATATTATATATCAATCGATGAACATGAAAGACACTACAAGAAAAAAAGGCCAGTTTATTTTGGGAGTTGCGATGGTTCAAACCGTCCTTAACTCTGGGTTACGACAGTTTTCCAACTTTTGCAAAACCTTATGTCGTCGCGAGCCTGTTCTATGACCGTCTGGAAACAGCCTCCCCAATCTCTATAACATGTTACAACTGTTCTCGAGTTGCTTACAAAATATAATTGTGACACTGTCATCATTTTTATTTTACATCTTGTTTTTAATATCTATTGTGACGGCTGTAAACGTCTCAAATGTGAAATTGTGACTATTCAAACCATGGCTATTTATTTTTTCTTACAAACATTTTGTATATGTTTTGTAATGGTTAAAACCAGTGTTAATCATTAATTTTAATATTTTTAGCAACAGTTTTAACTCTAAAATTCGAAAAACATTGTTAGATTATGAGAAGGAATTGAGAGGTTGAGGAAGGGGCAGAGAATTTCACTTCTATTTTCTTATCCATGCAACAAAATAAACATTTGATGGCTACTGAAGCATAAATAGCCCATGTTTTAGTATGTAATAAATGAAAGGTCGATTATAAAAAGAACATGGAATATTAATATGCTCAAAATTATTGCAAAACACAGTTTTCAATCAATCATAACAAATTATAGGAGTCACAAGCTTATTGCAAAACAAAAATAAATAGCTATAAAGATTATCAACCATACACAAAAGCAATGCATGCATGCATGCATCATACATTTATTTTCCACCAAAGACAGTGGACAGAATCTTCAACCTTTATTCACCATACCACAAACCAGAAACACAGAGAACCAACAACAATCAATAATTTCGACCATCAACATGTTCCTTCACATGGTAACCTTCACCAAATGGCTTCTTTGTAAGAGATACACGCACACCTGGATCATGGTGGGAACAAGAAGCATGAAACAGAAGAGAGTTATTAACACACTGCACATTGCTGTTCATGTATGCAGCCATTGGAAATGAAGATTTTGTTCTCCCTTTTTGATTCTTATCGTTCTTGTTTATTTTTCCTTCCTCAACACTTGAACTCTCTGATTCACTACCATCAACTTTGATAGTGTTTGGTTTCAAGTTTCCCTTCTTGTGAAGATAATTCGGTTCGTGTTTCTTTTGGGATTGAACAAGTTCCATATAAGCTCCTCGGTTTTCACCTGCAATTGTTATCACTCTCATGCCAGAGTCTTCAGAATCTGAAAATTTTCTCTCCTTTGTTTCTCTTTCTTTGACACTAACATGTTTGTTTCCATGATGAGAAGAATTGTGATGATTTTGGTTCTCCCTATGAAACTCACCATTGCCACTGTGTTTGTTTCCATACTGAGAAGAGTTGCTATGATTATTATGAGTCTCCCTATGCAATTCGTTGTTGCCATTGTGCGACTTCTGAACTAGCACCGCTTTTGGCTCGGCCTCCATTGGTATCTTAGAGCGTTCGTCTTGAGATTTGAACTGAGAAGGTGGGAGTGTCAGAGGAGAGGGTGGTGAAGCAATGGATTCAGCCTTTGGTGAATGTGTTGGGGTGAGGACGTTTTGTTTGATAGTTTTGGGAGATTGAGTGGGAATCGGGACACGAGAAGTGTTAGTAGTTTTTTCTGGCGAAGAAGAGCTACTTGAATATTGTGTTGGCTTATGAATAGGAGAAGATGAAGAATAAGAGTTAGGAGCTAGTATTCTATGAGGTGGGGATGAAGGTGTTTGTTCTGGTTTCTTTTCTTCAGGCTGAGGTTGATTATGAGGCGATGATGGTGCTGAAGCAGTTCTAAACGCAGGTAGAGACATGATAGGGCGCGGCTCGGGTGCGGGTGCAGGTGCAGGAACGGGTGCGGGTGCGGGTGCTGGTGCTGGTGCGGGGCGGATTGAGGTTAAGCGGAACCATGGTCGAACCGGGGGCGGATTAGCCATGGGGATTGTTTATTGTTGGGGAAATGTTGAAGTTTTTGAAGACAAGTTTAGAGAAAAAATAAGGAGAGAAAAATGAGGACATAAAAAATGGGAGAGGATGTGTTTTATTTATAGAAGTGTTTATTCAGCTGATAGAACAATAGAAGAATGGGGAAAGCATCAGATTCAATTGGCACTTCCAGCTGACACAAGCTCACAAAGTAAGATTGGTATCTCTCATTGGAGTATTTTTAGTTTAATTTTGTCTTATAAAATGCCTAAGTTTTCGTATGTGCAACTTAATGATATTATTTTCCAGTAAAAAAAAACTTTAATGATATTATTTCATATATATGACGTTGCTTTTTATCTTTGTTGTAATCGTATTCAATTTTTAGTGTGTATGTGACATGACATTACGTTACTTGCATGTTTAGTTAAGGATTAAAAATTAGCGATAGTTATGTAATTGAATGACTACACACATAAGACATTACCTTTATTTAATGTTTGTCTTTCAATTGACTTTGCTTGGAGTGGTTGTGAGGTACTGATGCTCTTTTATTTTCATTGTTTTCGTTCTTTTAAAGATGCTTCATGGGATTTCCTTCCTTTAACCAACGTAAAAGAGCTCTCAATGGTGGAAACTATGCTAATTTCAGCGATACACAAGAAAAGAACATATCCATAAACTAGAGGTGGGACCTTCTTCTTTTTCGCATCAACTTGTTTCTTTATTGGATGGTTACTATACAAATGGTTCAATTTGTTTATAAAATACTTCCATACAACTTTCACTTTTATATTTCAACGAATTCTTTCATTCCGTAAGATGTACGGGATAAATTATATGAATATATATTTTATTTTAAATAAATTTTTTATTGATTGAATAGTTAAAATATATAAAAATTAATAGTGAAGTAATGAATTAGACTAATTAATACTAATAAATAATATTTGTTAGAGAAAAAATAATAATGTGATTAAAATTTGTTTAGATAAAATTTTGCTGAAAATTTGACGCCGAATGTATATTCTAGATAAAATCTTATTGACCTGTGAAATTAATCGAAACATATCCAACAAAAATATTCTAGAATCAAATCAAATTTGTTAAGATTTAAAACAGTAGTGTCTACTGTGTTATAGAACTAGATCAAGATGTCATGACATCTGCCTTTGATATCTGACTGAAAACACATAATAGTATAAATGTTATGACAATTGATAAAGATGTTGCAACATCTTATTCAACAGTAACATAGAACCATGTCGAGAAACTTGCCTAGCCAAAATTTAGATAACCATGAAAATATAGAACTAAAAATCTTCTTTCCTTTTATGAATACATACAATTTAGGGATCAAATATATGGTTTGATGCTAAACCCGATAAAAGCTTTAGTTGGGGATTATGTGATTAGTTCCTATTTAGGTTGAAGATTATCTAGTTTGATAATCTTCCCTTTGTTCTTAGTTAGTTAGTAAAATCAAGATTGGTTAAAGATTAATAGATATTAAAAATCTTCCTAGGTTTGAGATCATCCCGGTTAAAATCTCAAAGGTTATTTGGTTATCATGTTAAACCAAAATTGAGCTCATATATTTGGAACATGAAGACTAACCGCTACAAGGTTTGTATTCGTGGAAAGTGTTATATCCCAATTTTTTCCCCTAAGATCCTCTACCATCCCACATCATCACAATGCATTAAGATCACACATTTGATTGGTCATCTCTTCTACTCTCTCATATCTATGATTTTGTCCTTGATGGATCACCAAGCACTTTGAATTGTATGTCTTTTGTAGATGCTTTCATGTTCATTAACCCTTAACCAAGGTCCAAAATATGTGTGTTTTCTCTTTTTATATTGTAGGTATAGAATCAAGTGCATCCATCTCACCTCCTAATTATGGTTTTGAAGGTTGATCCTCAGTTAATTGGCTAATCAGTAGATTCCTAAGAGCTTGGACTTCAAGGATATGATTATGACATCAAATTCCTTTGGTTTGAAGACTCTCTCAATTTTATTTAGTCAAGGTGTCTCAAAATGGATGTTTGTATTCATCAAGAAACTTCATAGGTTCATGTGTTTATTTTCATGCCTTCTTCAACAAGTTTCATCAAGAAATGAACCATCTCATCAAGTCTGCCCCAATATACCACGATTTCAATATCTAATGTGATTTATCATGCCTTAATTTGCAAGGAAAGACCAAAAGATTCAAAGTTGATCCTAGTGGTTTGACCTAATTTGGACAAGTCCTTGATTCTATGATCACAAGTGCATCATTCTCTCAATTTTTAATATTTAGAAGTTACTCCTTTTGCTATGGACTCTTATCATCATTTACAATAATTTCTCTTCACATGACAAGACCCAATTATGCAAGGAAGATCATCAAAATCTTGAAAAGATTACAAGTCCTTTAAAAGACCATGGAAATTGATGACTTGACTTCAAGAGATGATAACTTGGTCAATTTTTATCTCCTTGATCTCATTCTTTTTTCACAATAAACTTGAGGATATGTACTACAACTTTAATTCAAAGATCAAGATCCAAAAATGCGTGGAAGGTTATGGAATTCAATGAAACATTATAGGTCATTTGAGGATTTCTCAAGAAATTTTCATCAACTTACAAGGACCATAACTCTCTCATTGTTTATAATTTTTGAGTGATCTCAATACCACATTTCCCTTTAAGGAGTCTACTTCACTTCATCTTCAAGGATCAAGAGCTACTTTTGAGTGGAAGGTCGTGTAACTTTGAAAAAGATTATAGGTCATCTTGAACCTCTAGACTTAGAATTTTTTTTAAGTGTCAAAATCAGTTTGTTTTTCACGATTTCAAATTGACACAACTCTTAGCTCAAATGTCCAAATGAAGTCTTTCTTGGCACATTATAAAGTTTGTGATGATGTCTTCCAAATGTGACAAGAATGAGACCATAAATCCTCCTGAGCAAGTTGCCCCATGAATTTGAATATGGCCACTTGAAATAAAGTCTTCATCATGACCAGAATTTTGAACATTTCTAATTCAAATTATAAGCCAATTTAAGGTTCTATTTCATGCCTAATCATGTTTATCAATGTTCCAAAAGATATTTTGCACTAAAAGCTCTAAAGATTTGACTAAATTTTGGTAAAACTAGTTGCTGAACAAGATTGTTAAAATATATGAAGAAAAGCATGTCAAAAAAATAAGTTTTATCATCAGAAGCAACATGTCGGACAAGATGTCCTATGCAGAGTCATTCGACATCGTGACTATGTTGGGCTAGGTTGTTGGATCAGTTTACGTTTTAACAAGTGCAGAATATTCTGAAATATTATGTTATCCTATGTGGCATAGAGATTGAAGATTGAAGAGATTCAATTTGATTTCAAGGAGGTTTATCAATATCTATTTGTGGAGACAAATTAGGAAACAAATGATTGAAGCTCTATTTTTATGCAGAAGATTCTGCTGATTTTCAACAATTAATATGTTGTTGTATCAAAGCCTATGGTCAACTAAATATTATAAAAGGAAGACTTCGACCTAGGGCTTTTTAGCTAATTCGTCAGCAAAATTTTTGTAAAGAAAATATAAGGGATTAGGGTTTTGAGAGTCGTATACTTTCTTGTGTTATAAGTCACCATTTATATCATTTTGATGCATTGTGGTAGACATAGTTGTTTATACAGATTCAAAAGCCTTTAGGTAATGAATTGTATATTGTTCTTGGATGAAGCTTTGAAGAAAATCCAAGTGTGTTTGTTAGTCAAGAGTCTTGTCTGAACTTTATTTGAAAGGGGTGTCTTTCAAGTAGTTTGATGCAGTCACAAGAGGTTGTGACTGCTAGATATCATTGAGGTGATTTAGAAAGTGAGATGGAGATTTCTCATATTTAAGGAGGACCTAAGTAGAAGTGTCATTGGGTAAGTATTAGGCGAGAAATTGTAAATGGGGGAGTTTAACTTTGAACTAATACTGCTGATAGTTGACTTTCTTTCTGGCTTGGTAGCCCCCACGGAGTACGTGTTGTTGTACACTGAACTGGGTCATCATATCTTTATGTTATTATCATTATGCATTCTCCAATTTTGTTTCTTGATTGATTGACATGTTTTATAAGATGTTGGAACATATGTCATGACTCTGTTCTAATATGTTTATATCAGTATGATTTATCATGTTCAATTGTTGTTAAATAGAGATCAATGTCTGAAACATGTGTTAGGACATTTGTAATCTCTATACCAGAATTTCAATTGGTACTAGAGAAGACATCTTGTTCTGTTCTGGGTGAGACCTAGGGAAGATACTTTCTGGTGCATTGGACTTGAAGGAACAAAGTGTTGGTTGTAGTTGCTGCTATGACTGTGGTGTTAATTGTGAGGCATTTCTTTGTTGCTTGTGCCTCTATAGTGTGAACATGGACAACTTACATTATTCTGGGATGATCCCTTGAGAAGGATCATTGGCTATTTATGATAGGGTCAGTATTGGACATGTTTGAAGTTGTCCGACATGTAGCTTTGATGGTGATCTGTTATGTTATGTTTGATTTATTTTCAAACATCTAGTGTTCTATTGTCACCTGTTTTATGGTGATTATGTGCAGGGGTTATCTTGTTCTACCCTGAAGGGTGTTAAGGAGTTGTTGATGTGTGATCTTCTGCATATGTATCTGAAAAACTCATGATGGTGGCCTTCTGCCTTGCTACTTTCCTTGTGGGATCATCAATGGTTATTGTGCCCTGGGTTGTGGGGCTACAACATTAATTTCTCCCTCCTTTCCTTTTAGGAAATTTGAAGCAGGCCTTTTTGAATTATAGGGGGGGTACTTGATGGTCCCCCTGTTATCTTCCCACTCTTTGTTCCAATCTCGATTCTTTCTCCCGTAGTCTCTAGATCTGAGAACCCCGAAGAGATACTTCTAACCATCTTCTCATAATACAACCCTTGCAAAGTTCCCATGAACATGTCTACTAATTCCTTGTCTAACAGTGGTAGTTGCACAC